CCCGTCTCCATCTATCTTCCTTTAAATTTACCAGCCTCCTTAAACATCCAGCAAGCTAAGCTAAGCTAAGCTAAGCTACTCTCCTTATTCAGCAATCTCCTTCAGCAAGCTCAACATGGCGATGATCTTGGATGCTTTTATGAGTAAGTTCTCCACTTTGCTCGCTGATTTTGTCTATGAAGAGGTGATCAAAGTGCTAGGTGTGAAGGAGGAGCTTCAAGAGCTACGTCGTCGGATGAGAAGCATCCAATGCCTACTGAAAGATGCTGAAAAGAAAAAGTTTGGTGAGTCATCCACCGAACTCTGGCTTTCTGAGCTTAAGGATGTGATGTATGATGCCGAGGATATCATTGACCTCTGTAGAATTGAGGGAGCTCAACTGCTCGCTGATCACAATCCTGAATCTAGAACTTCTTCAGTATGTTGCGATTTCTCATCTGCCTTCTCCTGTTTCACTAGTGTTCCTTTGCGTCATGAGATCGGAAACAGAATTGAGGAAATTAATAATAGACTAAATAAGATATATGAAGGTAGAAAACATTTTAAACTAGAGAAATCCACAATATCAGAAACCCCAGAAATTACTGTAGTTGATTCTCGTCAAACTTCTTCCATGGTTGATCCTTTTGCTGTGGGAAGAGAGGTCGAGGTTGCAGCAAATAATTTGGTTGAACATTTTATTGGGGAGAAGGTTGATGAAAAATGCCTTCTTTTTGCAGTTACGGGCATGGGTGGGATAGGGAAGACGACTCTGGCTCAAAAAATTTTTAACCATCCCAAAATTAAGACTTTTTTCAATTTAGAACCTGTATGGGTTTGTGTTTCACAGACTTACTCAGAAATTGAGTTGTTGAAGCAAGTAATAAGAGGGGTAAAGGGGAGCTACGGAGATGCTAATACTAAATCAGAGCTACAAACCATTCTTAGTAATTCTATTTCTTTAGGCCATAGCCTTTTTCTTGTTTTGGATGATGTGTGGTTGGCAGATGTGTGGGTTGATTTGCTTAGGGTCCCATTGTATAACTCGAACAATACTGTCAGAGTCTTAATTACATCTAGATATGAAAATGTTGCTATGGATATGAAGGCAGCATACATTCATCCAGTGGCACATCTTTCTCCAGAGAGCAGTTGGGATATGCTACGTAGGAGGCTTTTCTCACAGGGTCAAGAGGAGCTAGAGAATGGTTTAAAGGAGCTAGGACTTGAGATAGTAAAAAGATGTAGAGGCCTTCCTCTTGCAATCAAAGCCATTGCTGGTGTTCTTTCAAGTAAACCTCGCACTAAGAAAGCATGGAAATTTTTTCTTAATGATAATGCATGGTCCATTTACAACCTTCCTAGGGAGCTTAGCGGTGCTCTGTACCTTAGTTTTGAAGATCTACCTTCATATTTGAAGCAGTGTTTTCTATACTTCTCTTTATATCCTGAGGATGCCTGGTTAGATCTGCATGAGTTTGCTCAGCTTTGGGTAGCTGAAGGATTCATAACAAAACAACGAGATTCATTAACTGAAAATTTAGCAGAAGAATGCTTCAATGAGTTGCTAAATCGAAATCTTTTGCTTCCAAAAAATGATTATGGTAAGTGCCAAATGCATGACGTTATCAGATCCTTAGCCATATTTTTATGTAAAGATGAAACTTCTTTTGGAGCATTGAATGTGAAGAACTCTACCACATCTATCAAGCTTCGTCGTCTATCAGTTGTACGTCAAGAAACAACAATTGAAATACTCAATTATGTTGCAGATAAGGGAGCCTTGAGAACATTGCTTGCTTCATATTCTGATCTATTGTTGGATGATGAAAGATTGAGGCAGCTTTCACATCTACGTATCTTGGACATTTCTAATACACAGATTCAAATACTTCCTGACTCTATAGGAAAGCTAGTGCATTTGAGGTATCTTAATTTGAATGTTACACATATAAGGGCAATACCAGAATCCGTAGAGCAATTAATAAACTTACAGTTTTTGAAAATAAGTTATTGTAGAAAATTGAGGCAACTTCCTAGTGGAATCACTGCATTACACAATCTAAGATGCCTTGATATTGATGAAACTCCTATTAGTTCCATACCAAAAGGAATAGAAAATCTGCAACAACTTAATTATCTGAGTGGCTTTGTGGTGGCCAACAATGACTCTAGCAGCAAATTAGAAAAGTTGAATTCTTTGAAGCATATAAGAATACTCAAAATTGTCAACTTAAATAGACCTCAAAGTGAAACCATAATTCTTAAAGAATTATCTAACCTTTGTACTTTAACGTTGAAGTTTTCCATGGAGAGCTCAAATCCCAGCGAGGAACAAGAACTGGCAGTAGAAGAGCTGTTCGACAAGATAATACCTCCACAAAGTTTAGAAGATTTCACAATATCAGGCTTCTTCGGTCTTCGTTTCCCCAATTGGATGGTCTCGTCACCTTTTGAAATTTGTGTTCCAAATTTGACTAAATTGGTATTAAATGGCATAAACTCATGCACTCAGCTCCCGTCATTAGGTCAACTGCCAGAACTTAAAGATCTTCGTATGTACTATGTGACTAAAGTGAAGAAAATTGGACCTGAATTTTTTGGTGGTGACATCAATTTGACTGGATTTGCTTTCCCCTATCTTGAAAAGCTTCAAATCTCTCATTTTCCTGAGTTGGAAGAATGGTCTTTTGGCTTACAAGTTGAGCAAAATGCAAATCCAAAACTCAAGGTTCTACCATGTTTAAAGAAGCTAACAATCAGTTATTGCCCGTTGCTGAAACGACTACCAAAAGGTTTAAAATACTCTAAGGTGAAGTTTCTCGAGATAGATGGTGCTAGAAGCCTGAAATTAGATGACAATCTTCCTGCTGAAATTGAGGAACTAAGCTTAAGTGATTGTAAAAATTTGGAAAAGATTTGCTGCGCTCCTAAATTAAAGAAATTGTATGTTAATGAAACATATGTTGAAGAATGGGAAGCTTTGTCTTGCGTGGAGAAGCTTGATTCATTGCAGGAATTGTCTTTCACTAATTTTGCAATCGAGAGCCTTCCAGAGTGGCTATTGAAGCTTCTTCAACAGTGGGGGTTGCAAAATGATTCTAATGATGAATTCCACCTTCACTTGAGGTGCAATAAAAAGGTTGTTCAAGGATGCCTAAAAGGAGGTATTTATTGGGACTTAATTCAACACATTCCACAAGTATATGTCTACGGTGACGAGCATCATTTTCGATATAGGAAACAACCCTATGTTTACAAACATATCTCTAATTAATTCATATGTTATTGTGGAGTTTTATTAAGGATTGTTAAGTTATCGTGGTGTCGTTTGTATCACAGTGAGGGTGTGCTTCTTTATATAATTGTGAGTGAGCTATATATTATGCCATAGTACTTACTGTTTGTATGCTTTTTTTAATTTGTGTGGGGCCATCCTTCTTCATGATTGGATTGCTTATGCTTCTCCTTTTGTTATTGGTTTAATATGATTATTGTGTAAGAAGTTATTTGTAAGTTTTTTTATGGAATAACAAACTGCATTATGTATTATGTGTCTCTTTCTATTCTTCTTCAT